CGTCTTTAGAGATTTTGCAACTTTAATGGATTTTGACAATATAGATGAAACTATGTTGTTTGGTAAGAAATTATTACTTGATTTTTTTTTTCGAATTTAATTTATTTAATTTCATGGTTTATGTCGTGTATTAATTATTAAATTCAAGTAACCTAAATTTGTTTATTACATCTTAATTAATAGATGTTATTGGGGTGGTTGTCGAAATACAACCAATTCAAATGAAGACTGTCAAGGGGGTGCCTACGCAAATGGTTGTTTTCTCCCTTATGAACTTGGAGTAAGTATATATTAACATATCAACTATTATATTTGAATTCGATTTTTTTAGTGGATGTGATTAATATACCATTGTATGATAATACTTATTTCGATTTTTTAACATGGAGTTTATTCATTTTTTATAGAGGAAAAAAGAAAAATTGTACCCTTTGGGGACAATATGTTGATCAATTGATTGCTATTGAGCATCACTATATGAATGAACAACAAGCGTTTGTCATCATCCTGCAAATGTGCCGTGCTAAGGTGTTTGATGGTAATATTTTAATAAATTTATATCATAATTTTCTTATTTTTTTTTATTGTCTAATCCCCTAATTATATTTGTTATTTAGGTGAAGTGCGAATAAGCACATCAAAGGATGTTACTCTTATCATTTCGGTAGATGTTCCCGAAGTTCGTGAATTTAGAAGGAGGTATATTAATTAACTATTGTTATAGCATATGTATTAAATTACTAATAGTTTATTTGATAGTATTTAAATTTTTATATTTTACAACCATAAGGTTGGCTGCTGGTACATTAAGGACCCAATTGGTGTCCAATAGCTCGATTATTGTCAAAACCGAAATTCAACAACTCGAGGATGGTGACATCGTCGTTAGTACTGTTGATTCGCTATATCATAGTGAGGAGGTAATTTATAATATTAATTATTTAAATCATATTTTTTAAATTATAATTATTTTCGATTCTATAACATTTACTAATATATTTAATTGTTTTATTGTAGGCTAAGGACATTTGGGTGTGTGCAACAATTAACTCCATCATAGATGAATGATGGTACTTGGCATGTACTCGATGTAGTAGTGCTATGGAGACTGATGGAGGCAATCATAGATGCCGAAAGTGCACTCACAATCGCGGCATATTTCGGTATGTTCTTTATAGTTTCTTAACTTGTGTTAATGTTAATTAGTTACACGATTACTTCATGACACGATCAATCGATTTAATATTAGATACAAAATTCAATTTGGAGTGCACGATGCTTCTGCGCATGCAAATTTACTTTGTTGGGATAAGGATTGTCAAAGGATTATTGGCAAACCTTGTGATATATTGAAGCGTGAATATGCCCAACGGGAGGTAATATATCTCGAATTTAATAATTATTTTTTTTAAATAAGCGTGTTATTCTTTTATTTAAAGTAACCAATATAATAATTTTCTCTTTCATTTTAATAGAACCATGCTATCTTTGATCTTCCCGACGATATTGAAGATTTGGTTAGCAAGAAATATCTATTCAAGATTCGTGTTAAGCCTAATGATCGTTACAACTTGGCTGCTGCTTTCAACGTGATTAGGGTTGTAGTTGATGACAACTTGGTCTCCAAGTATTGTCAATGGGTTGATGAAGAAGATGTAATCTTAACAACTTTATCCATGTTCGTTTTTTTCTTTTATAATATAACTACTAAATTTTGAATTTTCATTGTTTTTTCTCAATAGGATTCGGATTTCTTGACTCTTTTGCAAAGAGAAGAAGAGATTGCGAATGAAAAGGTAAATTATTTTGATACGGTCTCCTATCATTAAATTCAACTTATATAAATTTAATGTACCTTATTTTTTTGTTAAAGTCAACATTTATTAAAATAAATTATTTCAATTATTATAGGATGCTGCCTTGGAGGATGAGGTCTCCACCCCATTGAAGGTCAATAAAGAATGTGAGAAAGTTGACGACATATCAACCGCAAGAGGAACTTGGGTGATCAATTTGCACATGAATCGGTCTTAAGCAATAAGGGAAAAGCGAAGGTTGATGATGATGGAAATTTGCTCCCTACCAATGGGAAAGATGATAATTAGTAGATTGGTTTTTTAGATGAATAAGACATTTTGTCGAAGATGTTTGGGTTGTTTTCATGGTTTTTATTTCGTTGATGGATATTTTATTAGTATTTAGTTTATTAGGATTCATGCTTTCTGAATTTGTCATGTTTTTCTCATGATTTTCTCTAGGGAACATATAGTTCTCGAGATTTCATGAATGATAATAAATTTTGTCATTTGCTTTACACTTGTGTTTAGCTATTTTCAATTTAATCAATAAATTATTTAATTTAGGTATAGAAGATTAATAAAACATTCAATTGATTTTGTTTAGTTCGATTCAATATAAAAACATTAATAATTGAGAGAAGCGTGATATAGGGAATTTCAAACATCAAAATTTGTGCATGTTTAACTTCATGACTTATTTGAAACGTAATATTGTAATATAAATTAAAAAAAAAAACAAAACCTAACCTAATTCAACTTCTCATACCTTTCGAAATTACTCTTATTTAATATACAATCCTAAATCGAAAAGGACTCATATTATAATGATAGAAATAAGGTATGATTATAGAACAATCAATTTAGATCTCATGTGATATATACAAATATTTTTTTCTATATCAATCATTTTTAGACATCCATATATACTCATTATGTGTTCATCTATTTCTCCAATTCGTGTGGGTAAAACAAAAAACAGAAAAAGACGTTCTTAAAAACGGATAAAAAAACAATGGCACCCATGTTCGATACACTTCGCGCAGTCAATAGGGCCAACCGACCTTATTTAAAATTGAGAGTTGTTCTTATTTTAGAGACTCACTTCGACTTGGAGGACAAGAAAATTAAATACTCGTTTAAAATACTCGTTTCTCTCATCCTGCCTAAGACATGAGTTTATGGTTATCTAGTCCTAGCAGTTGAAAGAAAATTAAATAGTTCAGAAGTGAGATTTGATTATGGTGAAAATGAAAATATTAAGGTTAATATAATGTAAAATTAATAAAAAGATAATTGTAGTTACATTCCGAGTCCGGACGAAGGACGAGCGCGTATTGGACTCCAACGCGTTCATTATTTTTAGTGCATTACTATTCACCGCCCTCCCTATTACTACTTACCGCTCTCTTGAACAATTTTGCCCCGGATATTTTTTTCCAAAAAGTGTATTAGTTGTACTATGTATTAATTTAAAAAAAAAAAAAAAAAAAAAAAAAAAAAAAAAAAAAAAAAAAAAATTGTCCGGCCGCCGAAACCGAACATCCCAAATGGCGTCCGGCCGGACCGACTGGACACAACCGTGTCCGTACGCGATTTACGGCCGTACGGACCAGTTTTTGGGCCGGTCGGACGGCCGTTGGTTGTCCGGCCCCGAAGGCCGGTCGTGGCCAGTCCGACCGGCCGGACACCTATCTTTTCTTTTAATAAAATAATATTATTATAAATTATTATGTTATATATTCAAAATAATTTGTTCTAAATTATAGAATAAAAAATAAATCATTTAACTGAAGTTTAGGAAATCTATCTATTACTATAAAATACAGAGAAGAAAAAATCATGAAAAAATTCAAAAAAAGTAATTCATTTTCCCGCTCAAATGTTTATTTTCCCCTAAAATTTTATTTGAAATATTTGGCTAACGTGAATATTGGTATATCCCACCCATGAAATTCGGTTTTACAGATTAATTTCTCACGTGATTCCTAAAATCATGAGTTAATTCCATTTCTGATTCTTTAATTTGAGTTGTATGTAAAATTTCTTAACATCTTTAACATGGATAAAAAAACTAAGATATATGTCAAAAAATGTTAAATACAATTAAATTTATCTATTCTATTTTTATTTAAACACCTACAGTTTTATATGCTATTTATTAAGAAATGTCTAAAAACATCTATAATAATTTAGCTAATTTTCATTAATATAAGTTGTAAGATCATTTTTAAAATTAAAAGATTTACATATTAGGAAACAAATCGTTCTTTATAAAACCTGAATATTCGATTAATAAAATGTGGATCCAAAACTTTTAAAAAATATTTCCTTCAGGAAAGTGAAAGGTTTCGACGGGAAATTTATTTTAATAGATGTAATTTTAATGAGTTGAGAGTTGAGTTGCATGATCCCAGAAAAGTAGCAGTGGAAGCAAATATAATGGAGGAGGAAAAAAATAGAAATAAAATATAATTAATTGTATAATCTAAATTTGGTTATTCGATTTTTAAATTTAAACATTTAAAGGAAAAAATTACAAGCAGATTTTTTGGGTAAATTTTATTTTATCTTCATTCTTATATAATCACATTTCTAGCAAACTAATTAATATTATATTTTTTATCTACATTATCTAACTAAATTTTTTATGATATAACTAATATAATATCTTAACAAATTAATCATTTATCTACCGGAATTATCTCTCTAACAAACTTGGCACATTTTTTGAAATTAAAATGATATGACTAAAGTTTTTATGATATAACTAATATAAATATTATTGATTTATCTTAATATTTTAACTAATTAAACTTTTGTCTAACCGAATTTATCTAATTAATAAACTTGCCAAATTTTTTGAAACTAAAATAGTAAAATTATTCTTACGGGTATACTTACCAGAATATTAAACACTTTAAAAACTTTTTGAAATATTGACAAGATTTACTGCTACCTCAACAACCAGAATTTGGTGGAGAAACTGGGGAAAAAATCTTTATTCCCCTGTGATTTTAATATTATAGCCAATGATGTATATGGAATTGCTAATTCCTTCGTTAGTTGTTCTTTTCGTTTTAAGACTGTAGACTGTGGTTCTAGTGCTATTTTACCCGAGTTGGCTTGAAAGGGGTAGTACTGTTTCTGTAGACTGTGGTTCTAGTGCTATATTTTAGTATATTTTTAAAATCCATATACAAACGCCGCACAACATAATAATACAACACCCTCCTTCAGACTCGATTCACCAACAATCAAACATATTTATTAAGTCCATAAAAGTAAATAAAAATAAATAAGAAAAAAAAAAAAAGTTCCATACAAACTCTTGAGTATTGCCACCCAAGATTATTGTGTTGTATAATTCAGTCCTAATGGAACAACAACAGTCCAAACAGATAGAAATGTTGCCCAAACTCTAATATGAAACCAGGCTACAATCAGCAGCAGCATCTAAAACCAAAACCCCCCTACCACCTATAACATGTGATCAGACTCCACCTCCATTTTCACCTTGAGCTTCTTCCCTTCGTTCCTCATCAATATCACCTTCTTGTGCAAATTCGAGTGCAGTGACGGCACAAACGTCGGGCTTGCCGCTGGCCGGTACTCCGGCAACAGCCTGCCTGAACGGTACCGTACACCACACGCATTGCACAGTGTTTTCGGGCCCAATGGGCCTTCCCTCCATTGTGGTGTCTTGGTCACCTCACAATGCATGCACTTCTTCACGCCCAATTTCTCAGCCTCAGCCTCAGTTTTCTTGAAGTTTTCCTTTTTGGGGATGGAAGTGAAAAGAGACAATGGTGTGGGCCAGGGGTTTGTACGGGCCCGTTTGTGCCTACTGGATCGGGCCCGTGTGGGGATTGGGTTAGAGGACACAGCGAGTGGGTTCTTGCTGGAAGCCGAGCAGGACCCACTGCTCTCGAGAACCGAAACCGGGCTTTGGGTGTGGGAGATGTTGGATTCTCGGGCCTCGGCTGATTTGTTTAGTTGGAGGTTGTTATGTGATCCAGGGCTTGAGATGGGCTTTTGCTCTTGAGCTCCTATCTATTATTGGTTGTGTGGACAAAAAAATGAAATAAATGACAACAGGAAATGCCAATTAAAACAGAGGAAAAGGGAAAAACAACATGATATGCAGCCACATGCACAACTTAACTCAACAGTTGAATATGAACAAGCAGGAAAAAACCATAAACAGTGAAGCTTTCAAATGATATTTTCATTAAATTTTCAAGACAACTGCAGTAGAACACTATAAATAAGGAACAAAACCAAATTGTGGCTAAAATAAACATAATCAAACAATCAAAGGCCTACTACAAGATCCAGTTCAAAAGGCCAAAGCTTTTAACAAGGGATTTAGAAGAAAACTCACAGGAACACTAAGTCCAGGCAACAAATGGGAAGGAGACCCAGAATTGATGTTGGTGTTGGCAACTTCTGGGGGCCCGCTTAGCTCGTTGGGCTGTGGGGGCCCGAGACATTGAGACTTGCTGATATCCCAATCAGCCACAAACCCATCCTCTTCCAAACTCTCCAAAGGGAAATCCAAAATATTGAGTATGTTATCAAACTCTTCGTCTCCCAGGACGCAATTGGAAATTGCATCCCAACAATTACCAGGTTCAACCACACTCATATTTCTGAAAAAAAAAAAAATGCCAAAATAAAAAAGTATAGTAAAAATAACATTAATGTCTAACTCATATTCTGATAATACAAGCAAGTGTTCTGGTCTTCTTTGAGAAAACAAAAATTACACTCTGAAAATATTTTCGATCAAGAACTCCTAAATGACTTGGCAATGGGATATGAGAACACTTGTGATGACAATAAAGAGAAGAAATTTGATGGAATTTTGGTGGTTTGAAATCCAAGCTTGCTACCACACCCAAAAATGTATATATAACAAAAAAATGGCTTGTAAGTTGTAGGTCGGTCATATCTTATTAGACACAAATCTTAAAATTGACAAAATAATTAGGAAAAAAATGGTTAAATGATTTGTCCAAAAATATACTCCTAATTATTAGGCAATTTTAACCAATGCGAAGCATGAAACTTGAGCATTTGGACCGTTATTTCGAGCAAATTCACAAGGTAATTACCAATTGCTTCAAAATCTAGGAATTACCGAAATAGGAGTGTTGAGGATCTCCCATCCTTTATGATTCATTTATTTACTGATTCAAAATAAAGTATGGAAAAAAAATGAATTCATTAAATAAAAAACGATTAAAATCGTAAAGCATCTGCCTACCTAGGAAAATTATCTGAATTACCAGCAAAAAATGAGATCTTCAGCGTCAATTGTAATTTCTAATTGCAACAAATAGAGATAAAAAAATGACAAAGGCGTGTATCTTAAAAGACGTTCATTTTAAAGAAAAAAAATGGGTATTTGGTTTCCTTCAACACCAAACGACATCGTTCCGTTGGCTAAACAGTACATCTGCTATTTTTTCCACGCAGAACGTCAGCCCTAAAAACCAAGATAAACACGAAAAACAGGTCCCCGTTTGGCAGCTGCGAAAATGCAAGGCTGTATCATCTATGGATTTCGCATGATGTCTTAAAAACCAATTAAAGACAAAAACAAAAATAAAATGAGGACAAAATAAAATAAGAAGGAAAATCGGAATCCCGGGACAAATTGTGACAAATGCTTAGCTCATATACCAATTTAATTCCATGTATAAAGCAAACACGCATAAAGACATGCATCAAAACTTTGAAAACAGGAAAGGTCGTCATTTTTTCGCATTTGAATGAAATTCAGTGAAAAATGAACGGAAACAGAAAGTAGAAGAAAATGGTCAGTTGAATGGTGCTTAGTGCTTACCATAGCAGGAGAGACAAAACCTTATTAAAACCCTCTCGTCTCATTCAATCGGCCTATGGAAGGAAGAAGTCTTTTCGTACACAGAGAGAGAGGAAATTAGGAAAAGGGGCGTTAGAAGAAAACAAAGATAGGTTAAGAAGATAGGGCAACTGCTTTTTCATTTTTTCCTTTTACTTTTATTTGTTTAGTTTCATTATTGACGTAAAAATCTAGCGAATGGTGCTTTATCAGAATTGTACTGTTGTACTGTTGTTAAAAAAGAAAAATGCATTTTCAGATTTATTCTTACAACACATGCCCCATGTGTCACACGTTCATTGGATTTGTGTGACACTCAGTGGCATCGGACAAAAGCGTTGTACTCTTGTTTAGGTGCAATGTAATATTCTTTTCGTGGAAATTTAGATTTATAAAAATTTTTGGTTTTGTTTGGATTTTGTGATTTGGTTTGATTAATTTTGAAATAGATGGTATGATTAGTTGTTAGTGGGTATATTAAAATAATATTTAAAATAAAATAATTAAAAATTATTTAATGTAAAAGTAGGAGAGAGATTTGAAGTAATAGTTAGTTAAAATAATGTGAGTGAATGAATAGCGAATTAAGGTTTATGTGGGGTTTAAAACACCAAATCCTCCTATATTATATTAAATCTGTGCGTTTTCCCCCTGTATTTTAAAAATTGGGTCAGACCCCCTTCTCTTAAGATTTTGCATGCGCGAAACACCCTAAACCGTCTACGATGACGGAAGTATCGTGCACGCGCGTGCTGTGCGGCTTTTTCTTCATTTTTTCACCCCAAAGTGGCAGAAATTACTGTTTTACCCTTGAATGGCCACTCAACCACTAGGCCATATGAATAGATATATAACTTATTGAACATAAATATATCTATACATCATACTGAAATGAATTAAATAGTTTAAAAATAAGTAAATAAATAAAATAAAAGGATAATATGTCAATTTACTATAAATTAAATAATTAATAATAATAATAATACTAATAACTTCCACTAAATTAAATTAACTTAAAAATAATGAAAAAAATTATATCAAAATAAAGTAAGATAAAATTTAATGTATTAGCGTGAACTAAAATTAAATAAAGTTATAATTAAATAAATTTTAAATGATAAAAATAAATACAAAAATGAAATTAATAAATAAATAAAATTAAAATAAACTAATTAAAGAAAAATAAAAATAATAATTATATAAGATAATAAAGTATAAAAATTATAAAATAAAATAAATAATAAATCAAATATCTTATTATGAAATAATAAATTAAATAAATAGAGAACTAAAATTTATATCATATAATATAATAAAAAATATTATTTATCAAATAATTTTAATATGATTTACTCTTAATAAATATATTACTATTTAATATAAAAACAAAATGTTTCATTTTAATAAATTAATAATATAAATGTAAAATAAATTGTAGTATAAAATTTCAATATACGTTTTAAAATTAAATCATATTAAATATAATTTATAATAAAATTAAATGATAAATTTCATTAATTAAATTTACAATAAAATTAAATGATAATTAAATTGAATTAAATTTGTAATAAAATTAAATTATACTTATATATATAATATATTATTAAAGTATAATTTTGAAAATAAATATTTTTTTTATTAAATAGCTATATATGATTTGTATTTATTTATTTTAACTATTTTTATACTATTTAATATTTTTTAAAATCTTTTATAAATATATAGATTTACTTAATTATTATATTATTTATTATTTAACTACAATTTTTTTATATTTTTTTAATTATTTTTTTCGTTTAACATAATAAGTTATTTAAATTATTTTTTCGTTTAATTTTATATAATTTAATTTATTATATTTGAATTATCATAACTTTATATTTTAATAATTTAATTTAATATAATTTATATATTCTAAAATTAATTTAACTTATCCATAACAATGTCCATATATATTATACATTCCTAGTTTTAACACTCAACCTTGAGTGGTGTAGTAGTTGCATTGCTTGTCTTTCTCCCATGAGATACCAAGTTTGAATCCTAAGGTCTGCAATTTTTTTTAATTCAATTTCTCGCGATATATATTGAATATATGTATAATATTCAGAGGGTATAACAGGACTTTTGAAGAAAAACTAACGCCGTTAACGGAAAAATAGAGACAAGGGAGCGTGTGCACTTGAAACCTTAATAGAAGGGGGTATGACGCAATTTTTAAATTAGAAGGGGGAAATGCGCAGATTTAATGCCGTTAACAGAAAAATAGAGACAAGGGAGCGTGTGCACTTGAAACCTTAATAGAAGGGGGGATGACGCAAATTTTAAATTAGAGGGGGGAAATGCGCAGATTTAGTATAATACAGGGGGGTTTGGTGCATTAAACCCGTTTATGTGGTGTGTATGAATGATTGATTGATATTATTTAATTATAGTGATAATTTTGATGATAGTGGGGTTGAGTTAAAGTTGAGTTAAAAAAAGTGATTGAGTTATAATGTTAGAAATTTTTTGAAAAAATTCCATAAACAAATATGCTCTTAGCTACTCAATAAAAGTGGAAATTTAGAAGGTCGCGTATCACGTATAGGTTGTATTGAAAGGTAACAGAGCTTTGTCAATTTTTGTTTCAATTTTATTGGTTTAACTGTGACTTATACAAAAAATTTATACTAAAATTCTTAAAATAATGTAAGAGAAAAGTTTTTTATTTAAATTTTAAATAATTTTTTTAAAAAAAATATTATTATCTATAATTAAAATTAGAATTTTCACCCATACGATTTGCTTGATTTATATTACAATGACTTTTCCAAATCATATGTAATAAAATTATAGACAACGTTTTTAATTGATATATAAATTCATAAATTTTTAATTAGTATTAATAGATAATTTAAATAATAAATAAAAAATAATTTATATATTCAAACTCGTCAAAATATGAATGATTTAATATATTATATATGAAAACTGATAACAAATACAAACGTTATTAATTTTTTAATATATGTAATATTTAAACTAGTCTAGTATTTTATAATTTTAAAAGATCTAATAGGTATGGGTAGAATTTAAATCTACATGTACTACTCGAAACACCAAAAATTGACTACCGATTTTTCATTATTTGTAGCAATTCTTTACTTGGGGGTTGGAATCTTTCTATTCCATACATATCCGTTCCTGAGCATCAAAATTCAATACATAGAATTATGAAAGCACCAAAAGTTGACACTTATGATCTGGACATGATGCATTTAAATATACTAATACAAAATTCGTGATTACACAGGTGCTAATTAAAAAATATATACATAAATTCTTTTAAACAAAAAGTTATTAAGTTTTAGATATATTTATATGCTAAGTTAGTCAAGTGTTTTATAACTTGAAAATTCAATCGTTACGAATGAGACATGGGATACTCCGAATTACTTCGTGTATTACACGATGTTGATAAAAAATTATAACTAAATTAAAAATAAAAATATACATAAGGAAGTTTTTATTATATGTTTTAAATGATTGTTACAAACTTAGATTATTATTTATATGATAGTATTTTTTAAGCCATATTAGATTTATTTAATTGATAACTAATTTTATTATTTATCAATTAATCTTAATCTATACTTTATTTTTAATTATAAATGTAAATATGCATATTTATACCGATGTTGAATCGTAGCACGGTATGAGACGAATAATTTGGTATGTTATATATGGAAATTTGATAACAAATGTTATTAACTTTTAATATTTGTAGTTTAAGTTGGACAAGTGTTTTATTGTAAGGCCCCTCTACTTATCATTGCAAAAGTACTGATTTTACACAAGTAATATCGAACTTTTCGAAAACATTTAACTTTTAAACATTTAACTTTTTATTCATATGCATGCTAATACATGTTCAAAATAATTTGTTCTAATTTATTATAAAAAATAATTTGATAAAACTAAATAAAAATAATTTAATGAGTTGAGAAAAAGTTTTTGATTGATTGCTTAAATAAAACACTTAATTTATTTATTTAACTTCTTCTCTTAATGTTGCTTCTACTTTCTTAACTCGTCTAGAGTTTTCGGATCAATTTATTCTAAGGTCTGAAAATTTTGGTTTTTAACTCGCTACGGCTCTACTTAAGTTGCTGCCGAATGGACCTAGGTCGGCTGGGTGCTGTTGGCACCAGACTGCTAGACGTTGCGCACTAGGAGACCTAGGTCTGTTGGGCGCTGCTCGTTAGGAGACGCGGCTGTAGAGGACGTCGGCACGCTGTGGATCTGCATGGGCCCGCACTGAAGCGTTGGGAGACGGACGCACAGGCACTGGCATTGCGGGTCGCTGCGAGCATTAGCACTGCGGGATGCTGCAGCGCTGCGGGCACACATGCATGGGTCTGCGGGGTCGTCTGCGCACATGGGTGCGGTCATTGGCAGGGCGTCTGCGGTGTCTGTGGGCACTAGCGTGAGCGTCTGCGGGTATTGGCAGCGTGCAGGGATCTCTGCACTTAGCGTATGGGCACTGTTGGGAGCACGACGTGCACGCACGGGTCTGTGCGGGTGGACTGCTCGGGCTGCTGCCGGCTAAGACCAACTGAGGTCTTTCTTCGGCAAAATTCACCAGCCGGCCAGGACTTTTTCGACGACACTTAGGCCCTTAATTAGCTTATATTTTTTTATGTTTTAACATGACAATAGCTCAACCAATCTAGCAACCTAGGCCAAGACTAAGGCCCTCATTTTTCAATAATTTCACATAGTTTTTGGCTTAGTTCTTGAAGCATGCTCTTAGATTTTCTTCTACTGATCTTAACTCAATACACACAAAATATGCAGCAAGAATTATCATGTCAAACACCATAGCAAACTACAACTCAAGGCCATAAAATTAATAATTTTTGCTTCTCTTTTCCTTCTTAAAACTCCAAGAGTTGTAATAGCATGCTTAACCAATTCTTAATTGCTAGAACTTAAACCCTACTATTTCATAATTTTCAGCATGTTATTCGCATTAACTGACGCTCAGTCACACTCAAGGCAAAACATGCTACAACAAGGCTTCTTAACTTCTTTCTTTTCTTCTTAACTTTTTCATCATTTTGCATGCTTTTCTCTTCTTCATACAACTGAAAATCAACATCTTAAACTCTGCCAAAAAGGGGTGAAACTCGAGCTGAAGGGTTGTTA